GGCATCCCAACGATTACTCCATTCACACACAGAAGAAGGCAATGGCAAACCACTTCTGGATCATCTGCCAAGAACGTATATGAACAGGTCCCAGTCCGAGAAAAGGATAGAAGGATCCTGTTCATATGGATCTGTCGTCAGACAGAACACTAAATAATAATAATAATAAGCTACGTAAGAGTTTTATACAAATATTAACATGAATGTCCACTCCCCTTATTTATTACTTCTCACCGTAGTCTTTTCCCCTTAGGTTTAAGCTGTCTAAATATATTATTAAAATTGCACATTAAAAAGGTCTTCGCCTCTCGTACGTCCAAATATTCACCTGAGCACACTGTTCTGAAATACCGTAATTAAATTGTATTTTTTCCGTGTGCAGGACATGGTTTAAATCCTTAACGTCGTGATAGCAGAAACGAAAGAATCAGTCCTGCCAATATCAAAGCGCATCATTGGTCACAATCTGATCCAGTGAGATGTTTATTCATGTTATCTTAAAAATACTTTCTTCGTCTTCAAAGTGGCTGTGTTACGACAATATCACGTATTTTGGCGTGTTTCTGAACTGCCATGTGATTCCTCAATGTCTTTCGTCTTGTATGCCACATGATGCGAGAGATTGTTTTGCCACTGAGACTTACAAAGACCTCTGGCGACAAATTTCAAAAGGTGTGTAAACGTTAGAATCACATGATAATTTCTGCTTCCCAATATAGAATCAATTCAGCGCAATTAGGTACACTAAATTACTCTTAAACGTTATCTTCATTCATCAGAAGTGACGTCTAGTCTGATTTTCCAGTCCCCGCGCCACACAGAGTGTTATAAAACTGTTTGTTCACGTCCGTCCCTTCTAGTTTAGTTTCCACTAGAAGTTCCACGATACATTAATCAATGCATAAACTTACGTAGACCTAACCTAACCTAACCTAACCTACACAATTACAAACTCACTGTCTGACTGTGCAAATGCAATGCAATGCAGTGTCATCTCCGGCAATCAGCTAAATCGACATAGAATGAGTTGTTTAGGAAACTTTCACGGCCTACATCATCAGGAATTGATATGTTGTGGACAGAGACTGATCCCAGGGGATTTTCAGATGTGATATTGTTTTACATCGCCTTTCATCCTGCGCTGAATAAAATCTCCCGATAGCTTATAATCTACGAACCAACAAAGCTTCGACTATTTAATAATAATTATTACAATTATTATTATAGCTATCAATGTGGTTTTATTTTGACTTATCCTGTATTACACACTGCATCACTCGTTAATTGCTGTAAATGTAACAGAAATAATTCTCTGTACACTAATAAACCTTTTATTTGAAGCGATAACATTACATTAAGCACGTATTTACAATTATTTTTACATTTAATTTCATTCTACCACGAGTAAGGATTTAGCTTGAGGAATAATAATTAGTTAACGTATTAAGTGTGCTTAAATACGAGGTGCGATCGGAAAGTTTCAAGACTGTGTCAATAGAGGGCAAACCGGATGTATTACGAGCTTCTGCCACTAGGGGGTGTGGCCTACATTCATAGTGAATCAGTGTGCCAACCGGCATCATCGAATTAGCATTTGTTTCTTAGTTACGGGCGTTTTGGTAGTGCATTACACCGACCCTCCTGCGATTTCGGAATGGCGTGTGCATCAAATGTTGCCAAAGACTCGCCAAAACGGCTACGGAAACCTATGAAATGCTAAAGCAAGCATTTGGGGAGTCCGCAATGGGTAGTTCACAAACTTTTATGTGGCATTCATGTTTTAAAAATGGCCGAACCTCTGTCCATGATGACGAGCGTTCTGGACGACCATCTTCGAGCACAACGCCCGAAAATGTTACGAAGATTCGGCAGGCCATTCACGAAGATCGACGTCGTACCATCAACGACTTGTGCGACATTGCTGGGATAGGCTATGGGACCTGTCAGCTAATTCTAAAGGAAGAACTCCACATGCGACGCAAAGGCTCCTGTCTGAGGACCAGAAGCAGAATCGACTTCTCGTTTGTCAGGAGCTCAAAGATCTTGCAAGAACCGACCCCAACTTCCTTTCTAAGCTCCGTGTGACTTCTTCCTCTTCCCAAAGATGAAAATTCAGCTAAAGGAAAGGAGATTTGAGACGATAGAAGAGATTCAGGCAGAATCGCAGATGGTGCTTGACAGGCTGACAAAGAAAGATTTCCAGGGATGCTTCCAGGCTTGGCAGCGGCGCTGGGATCGTTGTGTTCACTCCCAGGGGAACTACTTCGAGGGTGATGGATGAATTTAATACCTGAGATAAGTGCACGGGTTTTTATACGCGCAGTCTGGAAACCTTCCGATCGCACCTCGTAT